ATGAGATTTTTAAAGGGTTATCGTGTACACTAAACAGTAAACAACTTCCTTACACCACTGATCAGCGCACACAAACACCCTTTCTCATTACTATAAGTATTCAGTGAGTGATTATAACGGGAACAAAATATCTTTTTAATTTTTCTAAATTATTGTTGTGGAAATTTTACATTACCAGGATGTTTTTAAGGCAAAATTGGTCAAGGAAAACCTCGCGTGGCTAAGTACAGTGTGTCCCAAAAAATGCTCTTTATGGTAATGGTTTGAACATTTTTAAAATCTACGAAACATTACCGATCAATGCATGAACATCAATTAGAATAAATGGCATGTAATGAAAAATTAAACTTATAAAATTCAATAAAGTGTTCTAATATTTAGATATATTTAACTTTCAAACAGTCTCTAATGTCCATAGTTGTGAACCATACCCCTCAAATTTACCCTGTTGTAAGGTCGTCTGACAAATTGTATCTCCGTTGAACCCTCCGTCCACTTTCCAAACCAAACTTTTCCAAGTCTCCGCGTAAATATAATCAAAAACCTCATGGAGCTAATAAAACTTAAAGTGCATTAAAAGATCCAATTTAAACATAATTTCAGTGAATCATTTACAAATAAACAGTGAAATTCCTTTAAACAAAATGAATATTTATTTTCAGAAGATTCAATTGCTTTAGACTTCAATTCAAACAACTATTCCCGCGTTATACTATTTCAGATCGTAAGTTCCGTATGTTTAATTCACAACAATATCTTAAACCTTTCATTTGCCAATTCACAACAGTACCTTTTAAACCTTTATTTATCGATTCACAACAGTAATAAAATATGATCCACTAAATCTGCAAAACCTAGAATCAGTAATAAAATATGATCCAGTAAACCTGCAAAACCTAGAATCAGTAATAAAATATGATCCACTAAATCTGCAAAACCTAGAATCAGTAATAAAATATGATCCACTAAACCTGCAAAACCTAGAATTTCCAATACCTTGTAAGCCTTTATTCAATTCTCAATGTTACATGTTTCTAAACCAATTGTTCGATTCACAACAACGCCCATTTATTGTTAGTTACCCTTAACTGTTTAATCTTTATTAACAATCATTATTTATACACATGTACGTCAATAACAATTTGTATTTTGTTGTAGGAAACCTCGTTACTGAAATATATTGTTTCAAGAATAAGTTCTCATCTATGAATACACCGGGATAGAGTGTTTCCCTAGCCTATTCGCCTTATCTTCGCCATTTCGAGCAATATTCCTTTTGATCGGTTCACAATAGTATAGCAGGGGAAGTATAAATCTATATAATACAGGGTGTCCCAAAAAACATGGGAATTCAGTGACGAATTGTATATCGTCTTTGCTATGAATTAGCATTGTAATACCTAATTTCAAAACCCAAAATATTATTATGTCTGCTAGAGTTTATCTAATGAAAACTGTAAATGACTGTAAAGATGTGTTTATAATTTCTCCGCAAGATGAACAATGAAGACGGACAAGTTTACTCTGTTTGTATACTGTAATTTTCTTGTTTTACTAAGCACACCCTTATGCAGTCAAAACATAAACAAACAAAATGTGAACATAGCAGACGAAACTCTTACAGATTACAGCTTTCTCAGTAGGTATCACTATACTAAATCAAAGAATTATTTAAAAAGACGATATCGAATTCGTCACTGAATTCCCATGTTTTTTTGGGACACCCTGTACATGCATACTCTATAGAGAGACACTAACTCTAGATAAAAATAAAAAATAAATATCTACTTAACTCATAATTTATTAAATATATTAAGATTGTACAATTATTTTCTGTAGAGAGTATTATCAGATACAGAACGTAGAGCAGCTTCAAATCCATCTGAAAATCATACAATAAATATTTTCACCCAATATCAGAATCAGGCCATCGTTTATTTGGTTAAAACTTTCAAGAATTTTTTATTTCAAAAGGCTCTCCAAGAATCAGAGTTTTCTTCACATCAATAATAAAATCAGAAAAAGCATTTTTTAACTTTTAAACAAAATCATTACGCTATTGAATCCCTGATATTTACGTTGCAACCCTGAAGCCATGCAATACTACGAACCATTGCAAGCCTGAAACCATGGATGCAATGTAAAATTTTGCATCCATGGTTTCAGGGTTGCCATGCAACAATATTGAAAAAGTACATATCTCTTTATTCACGTGACGTGATGGGAATGGGATGGAATAAATAGAAGATGGGATATTACATTGCCTCGACCTTGTTGGGTCCCAAAGCATTCCTCGCTTCGTTCAGATGCTTTAGGAACCGAACAGGTCTTGGAAAGCCTCGGTACAGGCATATACAGGGGTCTGCATTTATATCAATACAATGAAGACGCCTTTTCTATTAAGGTTTTGATTTCTAACAAGCTTTTGGTAAATTAAAATTTTACACTTTACAAGTAAACATTAAATAAATCAGTTCATTGACAGCTTCTCTTTGATTCCATTTTTATCCAAACTGCTGTTTGAAAGCTTGGTATGAAACCAAAATTAGAATATAAAGTCGTCTTCATTGCATGTATTTATATATACTACGACGACATTAGTATCCCACATCATATCGGATCGTGCAAAGCTCTAAATTTGGAACTTTGAGACACAAAAGAAGATTTTAAAGATTAAACTATAAAACCATGAAACTTTCCGGATAATGTTAAAATACAGGATTAATTGAAAATTATTTACGAATTTTGACATCAAAGCTTTTATATATATAATCCTTTTATTACCTGTGATTGCATCTCTGTACTTGAGTTCAGTGTAGGTTGGAACTTTCCGGAGAGATTGAAGAATATCCAGTAGGGTCTCCTCCATACCAGGCTCTAGGTAGAAGTATATACAGGTAGTACGGAGTTCAAACTTTAGTAGGAATAATATAAGAAGAAAAAGAAAAAAAGTGTGAAAAATATGAAGAAAAAAAATTTGGTGCTTAGATAATATTCGATCTGGATATTATAAAATAGAAAATATGCAATTTTATAATTTTTTATTGTTGTCCAGTGAGAAAGGCCTGAGTCCTCATGGTTCCACAGTTTTTCCATGTAGGAAACAAATTTCATAGCATTTGAACACCATAAAAGAAAAAGTACTCAAAATTTCACTATTTCAATAGAAAATTACTAAGTTGCGTTGCGGATTTTCTAATATCATGTTAGAATATTTTCTTAGCATGAGATTTTTAAAATTTGTTATTTTTGGGTTGCTGAGCTGAGGTTAACAGAGAGATTTTTCGAATATTCGACATAATTTTACACCAAAACGGAGCATCAGACGACAAACATTTCTTTTATGACACCTTCTGAAATTAAAAAACTATTTTTAAGTCTTTTTACAGGATATTTAGAGCTTTTTAGGTATTTAAAGAGTTTTAAGTCTTCATTAACTTCTCACCCTTTATTGGAAACAACCCGGCTGAGACATTAATAATTTACTAATAATAACTAGGGTTTCAAGCTTAAAAGGAAAATCGTTTCGCAAAAATTTTGCATTTTTCGTGAAAAAAAATGTTCGCTAAAAATTTAATATTTCTTGCATTTCGTTCGCTCCCAAGTAATGTAAAAATTTTCGTTTTTTTCGCTAAATTTCGTTTAAATCTGTTATGCGAAAAATGTAAAATTAAATGAACAATTCTCTTCATCAAACTTTTATAAAGTAAAGGAAGAGAAATTATTAATTATGATATAATAGAACAATTCTAATACTGAGCTCTCAGAGCAGAGAATTCCACAAGTTTTTTTGCGCAATTAATGGTTGCTGAAAATAATAATAATTATTTATGTTTTTACCTGTAGTTGGGATTTCCTGTGGATCAGTATATTTCATATTAAAGTTCAACGTTTTATAAATAAAAAAAAATTTACGTAAGATTAAAAATTCTTAAGTTGCAGCATATTAAATTAAATATGTTTAGATTTGAAAATACAAACAACTTAAAGATTGGATCAAATAGAAAGTTCTTTTAAAGCTTTTGTGTGTAATTATTTGAATAAAATTAAAGTTTTAAATTAACTTTTTTTCAAATTCAGAATACTTTTAAATTTTTTTTAAATCAAATAGATACTAAAATATATTCCTGGAGAAGAAGTTTTATCTCCGTCTTAGCCAGTTCCAATCTTTTGATAGTATCCGCCATTTCTTCCTAAAATATCTAGGTATATTTCCACCTTCAAGAGTATCCGCCATTTCTTCCTAAAATATCTAGGTATATTTCCACCTTCAAGAGTATCCGCCATTTCTTCCTAAAATATCTAGGTATATTTCCACCTTCCGCCATTTCTTCCTAAAATATCTAGGTATATTTCCACCTTCAAGAGTATCCGCCATTTCTTCCTAAAATATCTAGGTATATTTCCACCTTCAATAGTATCCGCCATTTCGTCCTAAACTAGGTATATTTCCACCTTCAATAGTATCCACCATTTCTTCCTAAAATATCTAGGCATATTTCCAGATTCAAGAGTTTCCGCCATTTCTTCCAAAACTATCTAGGTATATTTCCACCTTCAAGAGTATCCGCCATTTCTTCCTAAAATATCTAGGTATATTTCCACCTTCAAGAGTATCCGCCATTTCTTCTTAAACTATCTAGGTATATTTCCACCTTCAATAGTATCCGCCATTTTTTCCTAAACTATCTAGGTATATTTCCACGATCAAGAGTATCCGCCATTTCGTCCTAAAATATCTAGGTATATTTCCACATCCAAGAGTATCCGCCATTTCTTCCTAAACTATCTAGGTATATTTCCACATCCAAGAGTATCCGCCATTTCTTCCTAAAATATCTAGGTATATTTCCACCATCAAGATCGTATCCGCCATTTCTTCCTAAACTATCTAGGTATATTTCCACATCCAAGAGTATCCGCCATTTCTTCCTAAACTATCTAGGTATATTTTCACATCCAAGAGTATCCGCCATTTCTTCCTAAAATATCTAGGTATATTTCCACCTTCAATAGTATCCGCCATATCTTACTAAACTATCTAGATATATTTCCACATCCAAGAGTATCCGCCATTTCTTTCTAAACTATCTAGGTATATTTCCACCTTTAATAGTATCCGCCATTTCGTCCTAAACTATCTAGGTATATTTCCACCTTCAATAGTATCCGCCATTTCTTCTTAAACTATCTAGGTATATTTCCACCTTCAATAGTATCCGCCATTTTCTAGGTATATTTCCACCTTCAATAGTATCCGCCATTTCTTCCTAAACTATCTGGGTATATTTCCACGATCAAGAGTATCCGCCATTTCGTCCTAAACTATCTGGATATATTTCCACCTTCAAGAGTATCCGCCATTTCGTCCTAAACTATCTAGATATATTTCCACATCCAAGAGTATCCGCCATTTCGTCCTAAACTATCTAGATATATTTCCACATCCAAGAGTATCCGCCATTTCGTCCTAAACTATTTATATAAACAAAGATGCTTCTTAAATAGTTCCAAACTTTCAACCGTATCTCCCATTTCTCCCTAAAATGTTTAAATAAATGAAATGTGCCTTGTTGCACCCTCATCTCATCCGCCATTTTCTTCATAAAATATCTAAAAATATATATCCGCCATTTTCAACCTCCATTAGTATCTGCCATTTCATCCTTAAAATAACAAAATAAAGATTCTAATAAGCAAGTTCCAACTATTCAAAATTATCCCCCATTTTGTTTGACAACAACAAAATATACCATAGTTCCAATCTTTCAATTGTATACCATTAAGAATTTAGATAAACATAGATCTTCCATTAGTCAACTTTTTAATTGATGTCTACTAAAATATGAAACTAAATGCAAAATCAAACTTTGTACTCATTGCTTTCGAATAATATCCAATTTTCTTCGTATACAGGGTGTCCCAATAAACATGGGAATTTAGTGACGAATTCGATATCGTCTTTTTAAATAATTCTTTGATTTAGTATACTACTGTACTGTACTGTATACTACTGTAATTGAAGCGACTGTAAAGGAAAAATGAAAGGGGGTATAGGCTGAAAGCTAATCACTTTAGCTCTTGATCGGGACCCATGAAAGTTTTATCTGATGTTCCTGTCTCGAGAAATTACTATAAATTGATATAAAACTGTGTTAAAACTATACGAAAGTTCATATATGTAAAATTTAGAAAATCTGAAACTTAAATCACGTGACCAGAACTATCACCAATGGCAGAGCAGTATACTGGTCACGTGCCTCCGCCTGTATCACGTGACCACTTTACTGCACTGCCATTGGTGGAATTTCTGGTCAAGTAATACGGACGTATAAATAATATTATGAAAATTAAATCTATAAAAAATAGAAATAACAAATATAAAATTAGAATTGGAGTAAACCTAAGTTACAATTAGCTTTCTCTGGGATATCATCGTTTTCAGATTGGTTGCATATTTGCTGAATTTGATCTTTTTAAACCCACTATACTTTTATTCAAAATTGACAATTGTATATATATATATATTAATTTTCGTATAAATTTGACAAAGTTGTAAATCAATTTCTCGAGACAGGAACATCAGATATAACTTTCATGGGTCACGATGAAGAACTAAAGTGATTAGCTTTAAGCCTATACCCCCTTTCATTTTTCCTTTATTGTCTGATCCAGTCTGAGATGGTTTACCTTGACAGTATCTATGATAGCTCTGGTTGCTCCGATATCAGTACCTCGGAGACGAACACCTTCTCCGATATAATAGAAACCCCGGTCACGAACCCGGTCCTGGATTGAGCCAACCTGGACAAAATAAATTTTAAAAATATGTTCAAAAATCATAAAAATACAAATATAGTAATCAGGCCAGGGGGGGGGCACACAACCAGAAAGCATGTAATTTACCTTACTTTTGATCTCGCAGGGGGGGGGGGTTACATGGCCGTGGGCCCCCCCCCCTGTGGGCTGTGAGATGGAATGATTATGTCAACAATGCTAAAATAAAACTACCAAGATTCTTCTAAAAACTATTTTGAATGTCGCCTTTCATGATATCCTACCTTTTCTGTTTAATATTACAAGAACAGTAAAAAAAAAATTATCATGAATGTAAATTGTTCTACTCTTTGCTCTCATGCCATGTTTAGAAATAGAATTACATTTGGATGGTAAATAACTAATTCTATAAAGATATGACTAAAGACGACAATGTAAAAGGTTTCATAGTCTTGTTATATTTATATTAAACTAAATTAGACAGAAGAAGAAAGTCAAATTTATGTGACTTTACTTATGTGACTTCGTAGGTCTTCTAGAACTTTTTTTCGGTTACATATTAGAAATTCAAAACATTTTTGTTCTTCTCAACAAATCTTCAAGAACAGAAGTTTTGATTGAATGAAAACAGAAGATATGCATGAAAACAGGAGTTATGCATGAAAACAGGAGTTATACATGAAAACAGAAGTTATGCATGAAAACAGAAGTTATGCCTGAAAACAGAAGTTATGCATGAGAACAGAAGCTATGCATGAAAACAGAAGTTATGCAAGAAAACAGAAGTTATGCATGAAAATAGGAGTTGTGCATGAAAACAGAAGTTATGCATGAAAACAGGAGTTGTGCATGAACACAGAAGTTATGCATGAAAACAGAAGTTATGCATGAAAACAGAAGTTATGCATGAAAATAGGAGTTGTGCATGAAAACAGAAGTTATGCATGAAAACAGGAGTTGTGCATGAACAACAGAAGTTATGCATGAAAACAGAAGTTATGCATGAAAACAGAAGTTATGCATGAAAACAGGAGTTATGCATGAAAACAAATAAGATTTCAATCTTACTTGCAATTTCCTTTAGTTTGATTTGACCTTTTTACTTTTTACTAGCGGAAAACTAAACAGTTATGTTAGCAATACAATGTATGTTTCGTCAATAGGTAAAATACTGAAATATATAAAGATTGGGTGCGGCGTATGGTTTGATGGTGTACGTGCGTTACTGCGTGAAATATGTGAATATTTGACAAACTAAACACAGAGAATTGGGCACACGGCTCATAGACATAGACAAAGCATCATATATTGCGGGGGGTGCATTAAATACCCCCCCCCCCTCCAGTACAAAGCAAAATCAAACTTATCATTGTAATATCTAAATGTATTCACATCAGTTCCTACACTGAATACAAAGGAGATATTATTAGTATCAAGAATTCTTATTGATTTGATTAAACTTTACCGATATAAAACATATACAGTGATAAACAGAAACCTGTAGAAAAGGAAGACGAAATTAAAACAATACTGAAGTGCATTCGATATTGTTACAAATCAATTAGCTTTACACTTACAGTAAGTAATTAAATCACTTTTTAAATGAAATGGGCCTGTTTACACTGCACAATTTCTGTGCCTCATGTTCATTGGACTGTTTAAAGCCAAATCTTGAGTCTAAAGTCGATTTAATTTTCCAGAGCTTTTGGTTATCATTGTACATAAGTCATCTCATTTGTTTCTGTGTTGGGTTGTTTGCTCCCAATAAAAATGATAATAATTGACTTATTTTTCAATTATCAACTGTATTTTTGTCAATTCAAATCAAGTTCCTTACATATTCCAAAATTTTTAATTAACTTTAACAAGAAACAGTTTTTTTTCATTTCATTGGGAAAATACTCGTTCACTTAAATATCTGGGTTGGGTTTATAAATCAGCAAATATCTTATAAAAAGTTGATAATTTGAGATTTTAGGAGTCCTAAGAATTATGCACAAAAAATGACAAAATCTTGTTGTTAAATAGTATAAGACACAGAGATCTATAGGCTCCAATAAAAAGCTCCATCAGTTTTCAAGACTGGGCCGACTTTAAAGTGTCGCAACACTTTACTCTTGATTTTTATTCCCTAACTCAGTTATATTTTATATTGTATCCCTAGATATTATAGAATTATGAATTACTTGTTTTTATCTTTAGTTTTCAAGAAGAAAATTGTCATCCATTTTTAAAAGAGAGCAATTGCTACTGTTGAACTACTGTGACAGTGAGCCCCATAAAACTGTGAAAGAGGAAAACGACTTGTATAGACTCGTCAAGTTACATATTATTTAAGATATGTTCAGTGGAGAAACTGAGCAAGTGTGCATTGTTTACTGAGCTTTTTCACTTAGTTTCAAGCTATATGATTAGTATTATACTATAATTTGCTTTCTAACAACACAAGGTTGTGTAAATATACAGCTAGTCTCACGGCATACCGTTTCATTTAAAATTGTTTCGATCAAAGACACAATATTCTTTTTTATCAAATACTTAACGATAAGCACGAAAATATATTAATAACGATGAATACGAAGATTAAGATTTTCAATCGATCCATGTATAATTGTTAATTAAGCTTCCTTAAAAAGAAAAAGACTAATTTGGAAGAAGATTTGATTTCTCTTATATTACTCTATAGAGAGACTACAGAAGTGCTAATTTATGATTAAATATTTTTCAAGTCGGGTTTTTTCTCCTTCTAGTTCATGGTTTCAACAGGTTTTATCATTCAGTAAAATTGATAATTCGGGTAATTACATGATGTGTCGTGACTCAAGGCCTACATTAGATCCATAATAAAGGGACCTAATTCTAATCTAGCATATTATATTATATTATATAGTCCACACACTAGTTTACTTAATTCATATAATTAAACATACAGAATACACGGATAGAACACAATTTACGGAATAATTTGGTTTGGTAAAATTTTCAAATCATTGTTTCGGGGCCCACTTTATTATGTAAGATATAAATAGTTTACAATTATTAATGTGTCGTTACAAAACTTGAACTTTAATGGTTTGAAAAAACATTCCAATTAAACTTTATAATATGATAAACAGTGTCGTTCTTAGCTACGGATATTCCCGTCAGGACATTTGGAGGATCTAGCGTACATTTTCCTCCAAATGTCCTGACGGGCGGATATTACCATGTTACTCATTAGTTTGATATCTTTTAACTCCCAGATATATGAATACATAGACAGTCATAAGTTTTTTTTTATAATTCTAAAGAAACTTCTTTTTATTTTTAATTCAAGGTAAATTAATAGCCCTGAAATATGAATGAAATTGATATATTAATATTGAACTCCTTTTTCCGCGGCATTTGATCTTAAATATGTAATATACGGCATTTTAAAAAAACTCTTGCTATGTATTCATATATCTGGGATTCACGTATAAAAAAAGCTTCAATATAAATATATATTTATTCATTTTTTATGAACAGACAGATGTTTGTTTCAAATTTAAAAGTTGAGATGGCAGAAGATTAAAAAGTAGTCGTCAATATGAAACATTACTTAAAGTTATAATAACAATTGTCTAGTCATATAAAAATTCATGACATAAAAATGTAATTGTTTACTCTAAGATATTGGTCTAATTAAGAAAACTGCTGTTTATGGCCGGTCACTAAAATCACATTTATAATCTCTTTTAATTTCTTGATCTAATCATCTGAGGCGTTAGTTTCTCTCTAACAGTTTGCTTATTTCTATCCCAAGAAAATATGCATAATGCATATCAGGCATATATTGCATTACTCTGTATTGGGCACTGTTCATTGAAGTTTTTATACTATATCGTGTTTTAAACATTAACGTGTTTTGTAATTTCACGTAAACTTTGTAAACAAATGGAGTCCAGTTAATTTAGTACTGTACACTCAGTACAAACAGAGTATAAGGGCCCCACACTATTATTCTAAAATACAGGGTGTCCCAAAAAACATGGGAATTCAGTGACGAATTCTATATCGTCTTCGTTATGAAATAGCATTGTAATACCTGATTTCAAAAGACATAATATTATTATGTCTGCTCGAGTTTATTTTATGAAAAGGGTAAAAGACTAAAAAGATGTGTTTATAATGTCTCCGCAAAATGAACAGTGAAGACGGACAAGTTTACCCTGTTAGTACACTGCAATTTTCTTGTTTAACTAAGTACAACCGTATGCAGTCAAAACATAAACAAACAAAATGTGAACATAGCAGACGAAACTTTACAGGTTACAGCTTTCTCAGTATGTATCACTATACTAAATCAAATAATTATTTAAAAAGACGATATCGAATTAGTCACTGAATTCCCATGTTTATTGGGACACCCTGTACATGAGACATAAAATGTTGTCATTCAACTATGAATTTGGCCCACTTTAGTATTTATTTATTTTGAAAAGAACAGGAATCAAGAGAGGTCGTCGTTTTTTTATAGGACATTTTTTACTGTAACCATAAATCGTGCAGATATGTATACTCGATTGCGGACGTTTACTAGTTGTGTTATACAAAAACCAGGCGTGAAATGTTTTTAAACCTTGTACTCTAACAAATCTCTTTTAAACAAAAATCACTCTTAAACAATTACTTCTTTCAGAGAACATATTTTCTTACAGACAACATATTTTCTTTTAGAGAACATATTTTCTTTTAGAGAACATATTTTCTTTCAGACAACATATTTTCTTACAGACAACATATTTTCTTTTAGACAACATATTTTCTTACAGAGAACATATTTTCTTACAGAGAACATATTTTCTTTCAGACAACATATTTTCTTACAGAGAACATATTTTCTTTCAGACAACATATTTTTTTTAGACAACATATTTTCTTTCAGAAAACATATTTTCTTTTAGAGAACATATTTTCTTTTAGAGAACATATTTTCTTTTAGAGAACATATTTTCTTTTAGAGAACATATTTTCTTTTAGACAACATATTTTCTTTCAGAAAACATATTTTCTTTTAGAGAACATATTTTCTTTTAGAGAACATATTTTCTTCCAGACAACATACTTCTTTCAGAAAACATATTTTCTTATAGAGAACATATTTTCTTTTACTTAAAAAAATTTTCTTTGCAGTAACCTTTATGCCTTTTATGTGATACTAGGCTATTTCATTTTTAAACATTTTCTCTTTGTATAGTGTATACTGTATACATTGTAAAACAAAAAAGTTTGCGGATTTTCTAAAAAAATTCATGGGTTTTAAAAATTTTATGTAAATCAAATTTTGTTGGAGGCAAATTTTTTAAATTTTAACCATCCATAAACCTTCCTTGAAGTCACGCGATGTCAAACACAAAATTTGGACCCGATCGATCGGTTTAGAAAAAGAAAGAAACAAACAGACAAGCAAAGTATATATAGATAAACATTGGTTAGATTGAAGTACAGAAATAGAACAATATAATTATGAATTTAATCGACGTACTAGCTCAAATTCGTCAAACTCGGTCATTGGACAATGGACATCTTTAGATTTGACAATTCAAAGTATGAATTTAGTTTTCCTTATTGTTTTTATTTGTTCAATAATGATAAAAAATTTGGCCAAGATACGAAACAATTGTGCAGATCTGAAACAAATGCCCGGAACGATGCCATGCAAGAAGAAAGACTGAATAAATGCCCGTAGACTGCCGTCTCATTCTTGTGGGTAACCCTTTAGTAGATGGTAGGGAGTGGCATAGTTTTTATGTTCGTTTTTAAACATTCAAGTTTATTTTTTTTTATTTCTAGAGCCTCCTTGCAAAATGAGCTAAGATGTTAAACTTATTTCAAAATTGTTTGTAGCTTGATAAGTTTGCTTTTTACAAATTGTGCAAAATTTTACTCTGACCAAAGATATCAACCAAAACGATTTGTAAAAATTGTTCTGCAGACAAATTATAAATAAATCTGTTTTGATAAAAATGTTTGATAATGAAATGTAAGGAAACTTACAGAAACACTTTAAACATGTCAAGGATGTCCCACATCGTTTCGGATCGTTTATGGCTCTAAATTCCGATGTTGTGAAATTTAAAAAGAATGAATCATTGGTGAAAGTTGTATAAGCCAAATATAAAAATTTTCACGCAGAAACCACGAGTATTATGTGCGTATTTCAGATTTAAATCTTGAAGATAAATGCTATATGATATTGGGACGCTCTGTATAAAAGGGCTTCAAATCGATGCCCATCACTAGTGTTGTATATTACTTTACTCAATTAATTTAATAAAGGCTAGAGGTTAGTAGCATAGTATAGTTGCTACTAATCCTAACCTCTCCTGACCTTTAGGGTTTACTACCACATGTACTCAAACTGTATACGTTTAAACCAGAATACATATTTAAAGGGTCTGTCAACGTAATTTCAAGTTCTCTCCTGACCTTTAGGGTTTACTACCACAAGTACTCAAACTGTATACGTTTAAACCAGAATATATATTTAAAGGGTCTGTCAACGTAATTTCAAGTTCTCTCTGTTCATGTTCACTGTACATGCTAATTCCCTACGGTACCCTTTAAACCAGAATATATATTTAAAGGGTCTGTCAACGTAATTTCNAATTTGCTGAAAAATAAATGGTCATGTACAAAATTGATAGGAGGGTGGGGAGGGGGCAGGGGGGGTCCAAAAATCGTATACTAGGAATATACCAAAATAAGTATAAATCTTTGTAAATCTTTCTAAACATTAATTGTTTTTAAATACGCGGTGTCTCTATTAAAGTGACTTTTGGATTTTTGCAGCAGATACTAGGAAGGAAATTGACAGATCTGATCTGTGCACTGAAATACAACTATATATCTTCCTTGTTACTGAGATAGGAGTTTTAAAGGGAGAGATCTCTTAAAAAGAAGTTTAAGTTTAAATTACTTATATAGTACCCTTTAATATTTACGTTTAATCATTTTAGAGAGTGTTTATAAATTTTTCATAAGTGTGAAAATGATTATTATACTCAAATACTCTGCAAAGAAATATCGAATAATGACAAGAATGGTATTCATGAATAGTGATGTACATGGAATTTAATTATGGTTTGTCTTGTCAATATTTATGAACATTCTCTTAAGATTTAAATGTTTTGAATAATAATTAAGGTGAGATCTTGAATTATATCTATTTCACGACTTAAGTTAATTTAATAAATTAACGTGCTGTAATATAACTCTGTATTATTTATATATTATATTGTTGTAAGCTGAAAACAAATATTATATTATAAGTATAAACTTTACCTCAGATACTAGTATATTCTCAACCTCGGAGCTTCTTCCGTTCCTCAACCCGTCCAGGAGTAATCCTTCCAAACCTTCTCCGTAGTTTACACTAACGTCAACCTGGACATGGATTTTTGATATACCAGGAGTAATCAAACCCTTCTCTGTAGTTTACACTAACATCAACCTGGACATGGATTTTTAGTATACCGGAGTAATCAAACCCTTCTCTGTAGTTTACACTAACATCAACCTGGACATGGATTTTTAGTATACCGGAGTAATCCATCCAGCTTCTCCGTAGTTTACACTAACATCAACCTGGACATTGATATTATATACCCGGAGTAACCAAACCTTCTCCGTAGTTTACACTAACATCAACCTGAACATTAATATTATATATCCGGAGTAATCAAACCCTTCTCCGTAGTTTACACTAAAATCAATCTGGACATTGACAGTGAATACCCAGAGTAATCAAACCCTTCTAAAAAATTTATTCTAAATCGAACCACGGGTGTATTATACTACTAATTGTGCCCCCCCCCCCCTCTATATAAGTAAAGATTAACATGAATTTTATATTTTATATAAAGAATATAGCTACTGTTCCCTGTATACTGTACAGAAACTGTAGCCGGGTAAAAGTGAGAATAAGAGTTAAGAATCATGTTCTAGGTTTCTATGTAAAACCTCAACAATGCAATCGGAGAAATTCAACCCCGACATCTTGTCACGAAGGTTGAAATCATGTATTTCTTCTTGTTTTACGTCTACTCAATCATGAAACAGTTTGTTATGCAGTTTATAGTGTACTAGGCTTTCAGGGCTCTTCGCGCCCATCTTCTATTTCATTTGTGAACAATTTCTCTTTGTATACATTGTAAAACAAAAACAAACAAAATTCCGCGGATATTATAAAAATAATTTCGAAGATTTTCAAAATTTTGATAATCAAATCCTGTTAGTTGCAAATTTTTGAAAATTCGATAATCCATAAACTTTTCCTAGGGTCACGTGAGGTCCCACAAAAAAGTAGGCCTGATTGGTTCAGCCGTTTGGACGTTTATTGGACACAAACGGACAGACAAGCAAAGTTTATATATAGAAGCAACGAAGCAAAGCATTAAAAGAATATTAGATAAAAATGTAAAACAACAAGATCTTTATTCTGTATTCAAGTTTTTTTTTTTAAATGTTCAAATCAAGAAAAATCATTAACAATTGACTTGTGGAGGGAGGATTATTAGAAAAAAAGGGGGGCGGGGGGGGGGGGGTCTTCAGTTTATGAGGAGGGTGCAATCTGACAGCAAGGTTGTTGACTAAATGTAAATATAAATGCAATTACACCGATATAATCGCCTACTCGGGCACGACATAACACTGTGGTATAACGGTCTAGTAAAAACCACCACCTAGTTTTTAGCATGATGCTAATTTAAAGTAAAATATATCCCTTTATGTCATTGTAATGGGTATAAGTAAGAAAAGGTTTTTGCAGGATTTTATTTCTAGTTTGTTTTAGCGTTAAATACTTTTACTTTGATCGGAAACAAACTAGAAAAAGTAAAAATCACAACAAAAAACTTTTTCGCACGCATGGTACGTACCAATTACAATAACTTATATATGTGTATTAAATTTTACTCAACTTATTTAATAACAGGCCTATAAATTTACTTTATCGCCCTGTTGTAGGGTGATATTATAAGTGCAATTTGAAATTTGAGTAGCAGGGTGATAAAGTCACTTTTTTGCCCGGTTGTAGGGCGATAAAGTCACAATTAATCAACCTACAACGGGAAATATTAAGTGTGATAAATTCCAAACAATTGTTTTTAAATCCTCCTCTCTACCCCCCTACCCCTCTGCTCCATTCATTTAATTAGCCTTTATTTGTCTTCAAATATGGATAATTGTTGAAGAATGGTGGGAAAATAAACTGCTCTGGATTCTCTGGAACCAGTCGAACCAACACAGATACTTGGAAATCCGGGAAAACAATTGGTTGAGAGGTTAATGCCGTTATTTCTTGAAATCCACAACTTTAAGTTATGATATTGATAACAAGTTTAATTTTGACTCCATCCGTCGTTTCAAATCATAAATCAGAATGCTGAATACAGAATACAATAAAACAGTTTTATTTTGATTCTATTCTTTGTTCTATGGGAATATGTGAAAAGTTTTACACAAGAATCCACGTTTAGCAATTTGAATCAAAGATGAGAATTATACCAGCATGCGATCCTGTATATACAGGGCTATAGCTGCAGGGTTACACACTAAGAATTCAGAGACGACTGTACAGAACTATTTTTTTGGTTTATCCAACATCTTAAGAAAATTATAAATTTATTGACATCTGCCTGAAATAGGCCTGTTTAGATTAAATTTGCTTTTAATACAATAGTACAGGATGTCCCAAGAAACATGACAGTTAGTAAATAGTTTTAAATGTCGTCTTCCATACTCTGTATAGGCTACTAAAGGCTGTTTGCAGTTTATTTCATTAAAAATCTTTTGCTCAAAATATTTTACTTTGAATTTTACTATAATATGACTCCTATATAATATTTTTATTATTGTTTTTGGTATTAAACAACTTATGGAAGAAGACATTAACCAACTTGTCATGTTTCGTGAGACACCCTGTAGTTATTTGTTTTTAGAAATTTTGCTGAGAAGAGTATATCAACCATAATAGTTTCAATCAGTTTTGCAACACTTTTGGCGCATGTTTTGCAAAATAGTGTCAAAACCTGACATACATTCTATGATATCATTACTCATAAAGAAAGTAAGCAAATGGCACGTGCAAACTTTTTTCAAATCTGTTGCAACAAAATAAGCTCAATCTTACATTGAATAATGGTAAATTTGTTTACATATTTAGTATACTAGGGGTGAATGCTATCAAAAAATGTAATAGAAGTATCAAAAACTTTTACAAAAACACTGCAAAATGCAAATTGCAAAAAAATGCAATTTCTCCTTCTTTTGTACAGTTATAATAATATAATACTTAATATTAGTATGAATTTACAATTACTGCTTTTCTGTGCAAAATGGCAAAAAAGAATTTGCAAAATGACATATTTTTTATAAAAACTAACTTTGTAAGGTGAGCTAAAATCTTGAGACACATTTTACTTGGTTTTGCTAAAAAGCTAAAAAAAAAGTGACAGAAATGCAAAATATATAATTTTCGAATAAATCCATGTTTTTTTGGCAAACCCATTTTTTTGTCAAAACTGAAATGGCATACTCAAGAGCTTTCCAAAAATTAGCATTTTGTTATATTTATCTTCAAAACTATGGATATCCTGTTTTTTTAAGTACGCCATGCAGGTTAAAAGACAATACTTAAGGCAGAAGACTTAATTTAACCATCAGATTGTCATATTTTAAGAGTTTCAGGTCGTCTTTACAGTTTCATCATTCGTAGGTAACCCTGTATATCGTGTTGAATTTAATTCGAAAAATAATTCACTCAAAATGAAATTATTTTTGAATTAATAGGCTAGGGGAATAAATATGCTTAAAATCTTGACTGTTTAGTCGTCTCTTGACCCTACATTTATAACCAATGATAAGCGGAATGATTGACGTCTCTTGATGGTAAATATGTGCAAGGATTGTGTTACTGCAAGTGTTACACCTAATATGATATATCTCTTAAATATGTTCTGGGCTCATTTTCAGAATATAAAAATAAAAATAAATAAAAAAATCCTTATCGATATTTATAATGAAAAGAAAGAGCGAAGACGACAATTAATTTCTATAACCTGTTCCAGGGGAAACTCCTGTTCCAATAGAGTCTCCTGCTTCTGAACAAGGAACCCAGAACAGGAGAGAACACAGGTTCCCAGAAATAGAGTGAACAGCTGAAAAAATAAGTAATTAATTTGGTGTGCTTTATCATATTATCATAGATAGGTCATTTACTAATTACCAGGTTTACAGTGCGCTTCGTGCCCCTTCTCCTATAACGATATTTTTTGTTACAAGATTTCTCTACAATACCTTCTTTAAGAACATTTTAGATAATAACAACAATTTCGGGGAGTTACTTGTTTTTATTAATAAATATTCAAAATGGATCTAGACCTAACCAGAGATCTGTTTAATCTCTGGTTCTTACCTAACAATCTTTTTAATATCTGATTTCAATCTAATCAAGGATATTTAATCGTTGGTTCAACTCTAACCAGGAATCTATCTAATATTTGTTTCAAACTTAACCAGGGATGTATTTAGTCTATGATCCACAATAATTATCTATTTATCTCTAAATTTAAAACCCTCATTAATAATATGAATATTGCTTAAATAATAATGATCAGATCTTGAACTACTAATATTGCTCCTGTAAAATCAGAATATTTAGTTAAAGTTTCTTCCTAAAGTTCAAACCCCTCGGAGCAGTTCTCTTGTGTTTAGTGGGGTTCCCAGATAATCTGAGCAATGATTTTAGATTTGGTTCGGTGTAGATGTTGCCAGTTCTTAGTTGATTCACACAATTTTAATGAACCTTCAAACAATCTAGACTCTAGAGTATAGGGACGCAATCTTCTCTAGCTTTTACCTTTCACACTAGGTTCAATTATCTTAATCTTTTAAGACTCACCATGTCATTAACAAATCCTATGATCTCGTATATTCTAAACCTATCCTCATGAGCTCATATTAGGTGCATCATAAACTAAACTTATGAACTCACATAGGTTCAAATTCAAACCAGTCATAAGCTGATTAATATGCTTAGAATCTAAACTAATCCTCTAAATTCACTTAGGTTTAAACCCTTCCATAACCTAATCATTATATTTAGAGTCTTAACTAATCCTCTGAATTCACTTAGGTTTAAACCTACCATAAGATCATCATTATGTTTAGAGTTTAACTTATCCTATGAACACACATAAGTTCTTAAGCTCATCATTAGATTTAGAATCTAAACTAATCTCTAACTGAACTCACATACATGGTTCAACCCCCTAATCATAGGGTTCGATTGTATACTCTAAGCTACAGAAAGCAGGAACTATTATTGTCTCTAAACTTGTTTATCTAGTTTACAATTCATACGTTATCTGCAGATGATTAGAGATTAAATTGTTCCAATACAAGCCTCACAAAAGCCAAACATTTGGCCCAAACAACCAAACTGATGAAACAGAATGATGGCTAGATAAATAAATACAAATTGATAATTCATGTAACTTTACGGTTTAGTATAAGACGTTTTTACTCCACGGAGAGTTAAGAAAGATACACGCTTAAAGGCCAGTAAAAGAAAAATGAAAGGGGGTATAGACTGAAAGCTAATCACTTTAGCTCTTGATCGCGATCCATGAAAGTTATATTTGATGATCCTGTCTCGAGAAATTGACATAAAACTGTGTCAGGTTTATACAAAAATTCATATATATACAATTTTGTAGACTTAAACAGACTTAAACAGATCATATTCAGCAAATACACAACTAATCTAAAAAACGAAGATATCCCAGAGAAACCTAATAGTGGTCGCATGTCTCTGTCTGTATTATAAAATAATAATTGGAGAAAACCAAAGTTACAATTTGGTTTCTCTGGGATATCTTCGTTTTCAGATTGGTGGCAGATTTGCTGAATATAATCTGTTTAAGCCTACTATTTCTATACAAAAAGAATTTTCTTATAAAATTGACACATTTTATATCAATTTCTCAAGACAGGAACATCAGATATAAATTTCATGGGTCGCAATCAAGAGCTAAAGTGATTAGCTTTCAGTCTATTCCCCCTTTCATTTTTCTTTTACAGTCCCTTTAGTTTCTGATCTTTTTTACAAATATAAATAGTAATGAAGAAAATTCAAGTTGACCCATGTAACCTACTTTGTCAAAAAGAGACAAATTTTAAACCCTATTCTCAATTTTTCTGTTGGTTCAATAAAAAAATTTTAAATGTAAAAAGTGAGAAAATTAAATCAGTAAAAAAAAATTAAGATTTGTCCGATATTTATGTTTGATAGACAATTGTAGTTTTAGACGTCTTAAAATAACGTAAGAATGTATAAATGAAAGATTGTATTTTACTTGACTTTATTAATCAAAAAAATAAGAAAATCATTGACATTTCAAAGTTTTGAAAATGTCCGCTTAATCATATTCTGAAGTTGTATAAACATTTGTAATGTAAAACATCAAACAAACAAACTCTTCTCTGAATTCTCTGAATACAACCCTAACTAGAATTTATTGTCAAAATTTCAAAATATTAAAGTAAACCGTCTTTTCGGGGTGTGGCAAGCAATATTGGAATGGGAGACAGAAGGAGATGGAGGGAGGGGGGAGGGTGGAAGGTGGACGGGGATAGAATTGGAAGAGAAAAGAGGGTGCAATGGAATGGAAGGAGAACGGAAGAGGGGAAGAGGGTAGATGACATGGATTGAGGAAGAAAATGGAATAAATAGAGGAGTATAAAGAGAAAAATAAGGGACTGTGCATAGGCAGTACAAAGGAGAGGTAATGAAGAGAGCAGGAGAGACGAGGAAAAGGGAGGGTGGAGGAGAGGGGTCAAGGGACAGTAGAGAAGGAAGGTTTCCGAGAGAGGGGAGATTATTAGAGTTAATTAAATATTTGATAACATTTTTTTCATTAAAAAGTTTGATTTACAAACTGCAATGCAGCACGATCGTCCCTAGGTCACACCATCATTTCTCTACGTACACACTTAGAGTATGTACGATGTACAATGTACAACGGTGTACAATGTACATGGATAGAAATAAACTGTTGAAATTATGAATTATTCACCATGTTTAGTGAGTTCGGTAGAAAACAGAGTCTAGAGATGTGAACGAGCGGAACTCCAGAGGAGAACTGACAGCTTACACACTTATACTACTTCTAGATACGCCGTAGTATTATCCATCCTTACACCTTACAGTTACAATACTTCACTATTTCAGGTCAAGTGCATCAACACAATTAGAGCTTTCTGAGTAAAATAAGGGTTGGGGGGTGAAAATTAATTACGAGGTTGGGAAATAATAGTTTTTATGTTTTTTTTAAAGTTTTACCGTGAGGTATGAGGTAAATTGAATGAGGGGGCCATGTTGAATGTTGATGGGATGGTGAAGATTAAGAGCTGTATTTTAAAATTTCATTTTTGTCAGATTTTTTTGAATTTATCATAGTTTTCATTTATTTTGTCATGATAATATTTAATTTGTATTTATTTTGCTCGAACATGGCTAATAAAGAAGAGCAAATTCATTTATTACGGCAAGAGAGGGCTAATTCATTTATTACGCGGCAAGATCAAGGTTTTTGTTACTTTTTGTTGAAACGTAAACACATGCTCTTTAATAGGTGTGATCAATAAGTTTCGATAAAATTTGCATATGGGGTACTTCTAGAAGTCTCAGCTCTAAATTTTTTTTTATATCTATACCAGATACATTTTTGGCCAGGTTTGCGTCAACTAGATTATTATTGCGATGTAAGGAGTGTTCTCCTGAAGGTGGATTAGCTTAGTTGCATAGGAATATATGGAATATTAACCAGAGAAAGGAGACACTTTGGAGGCTCAGTTAGTATAAATGTTTTTATTAGACGATGCAAAACCAAACAGTGTCAGAATTTAATAAATTTAAGTCGCGTCTCAAATCCCCCAAAAACCGGTTTCAATGGACAATCGGCTTAAATCTTGAAAAATTTGATACAAATTTAAGTGGAACCAACAAAATTTGAGTCGCAGTTTAAAGGGACCGTTCACTTATTTGGTTAATTTCAGGGTAAACTAAACAGCCTATTCGCTGTTGATTGGTAATAGTCTTACTTTTCAAAGACAACTGTGGCCGGAGAAAAAGACAATTTTTCGTTCAGAATTTGAGCGGAAAGGGACGGTCCCTCTCTATAGACACTAATTGTTATTTTTTTTCAGTATGTTACGGATCAAAATAAATTTCTAATATAAAATCAAACTGTAGTATCTAATCGTTAATTATAAATGTCATTATTTTTTTTTGTTTTTGTTTTTTAACTTTCTATTTCTAAAAAACACTATTTTATTGCATTCAAAATTGTGTATTGCCTGTGTAAAAAGCTGAATTGAACGCGGCATGACAAATGCAAAGTTGTGTGGGAACAAAATCTACAAAATCTACGAACCAAAATACGAGTAATGATTAATTGATTGTCGTCTTTGTATACACATTTTACATGTTTTAATACGAAAAACGTAAATTTCTTGCTAACTCAAATATCAAAAGTTTTCATAGTTTAGTACATAATAAAGAACACAGTATAACATTAAAATATAATAAATTTAAATGTTATTGGGCTGCTGTTACTGAATTAAAAACATCAAATAGTGTCTATAGAGAGGGACCGTCCCTTTCCGTCAAAATTCTGAACGAAAAATCGGTTTTTTCTCCGGCCACAGTTGTCTTTGAAAAGTAAGACTATTACCAATCAATAGCGAATAGGCTGTTTAGAATACCCTGAAATTACAATTACAAGAAAGATCTGATTGACATCAACTGATCTGAAATATAATCCGACATAGATAAAGCGAACTTTCAAAAAAAAATAAACAGGGCCTAGACTTCTACAAGTACCCATAGTAATTTTTTAACGAAACGTATTAATCACAAATCGTAGAATGTCTCTCTTTAGAAAAATTTATCCAAAAACTGAAAATAATGAGTGGCAAAAACTTAGATCTTTTAAAAGTGTAATTTTTTACTTGTTGCAATAATCTGAGTTGCAATTTAATATATAAATAAAAATCCATATTTTCATTGCCAGCATGCAACTTGATCATGCATATATAACTGTTTGTTAAAAAAGACGAGGCAGGAAGATTTTGTCCCAACTCAACCGTAAATTCATATTCAAACTTTAAACTTGAAAACTCTGAATCATACTGCGTCTACCGTAGACTCAGCTCAGATAGATTCGTTATTAGGTGTCAAACAGTTGAATGAACAGAGCTGAAAACTTTAGAATGGGATATCCTTAATCCCGATCAGTTAATTAATCTTGAAATTAATAACAAGACGAAAACTAGCATAATTTAATCTCGAGATTAAGTAAAAGAGTGGATCAAGCCTTAGTCCTGATATCCACCATTCAAAAGTTCCCAGCTCAAGATAAACAAGACGAACACAAAACTGGAAAGAGACATTTGACACTTCAGATAAACGGGTTGCTGCAGTAGACTTGATATACAGGATATAGACATTTGACATTAAATAAACGGTTTAGGATAGACCGGATGAACAGGATATAGACACAGACTAAACATTTAGGGGAAGACCGGATAAGCATAGATAGACATGGGATGAACGGTTTAGGGTATACTGGATCAACAGGAGATAGACACGGAATAAATGGGTTGCAGTAGTCTGATGAACAGGATAAAGTTTTTAAGTTTATATGAAAAAAATATTAGTGCTGTCAGATCAGTTTAGTTAAAGATTTAAATATCAAAGGTTTCAGGTTGCAAAGAGATAAGAATTGAAAAATTTGAGTTTGATGCAAGCGTTCAGTTTTTTTAGCACTCAGTATTACTCGTAGCCGACTGTACGGAACTTATTCAGACTTTTCCTTTACAGACTCCAGGATCCCTGTAACTGTAAAGGAATTGAGTTTTTGTCACAAACTCTGATTTTCTTATCCCTATATCTTTGCATTTCAATGTCAGAGACCTTAGATATTTCGAGCTATGAATTATATTAGATCAAATAATAATAGTTTAAAATATCAAATGATAACACCATCAGGTTGCAAAGATATAGCGATTTGAAAATCAGAATTTGTGGCTAAAACTCAATTCCTTTGTTTCTTTTTTAACCAAATCAGAAACTACATCGTTTAAAGGCTCTTTTGTGTAAGATGTACAAATTTGACCTTTATTATATATATCGTGTATTATATATATATCGTTTATTATATATATATCGTTTATTATATATATCGTTTATTACATATATCGTTTATTTATAAAGAGTTTTAAGGTCGTCCTTAAAGTTCCATCCTTTGAAGATGACCCTGAATGCCCCTAAATGTGCTCTGAATGCCCCTAAATGTGCTCTGAATGCTGAATGCCCCTAAATGTGCTCTGAATGCCCCTAAATGTGCTCTGAATGTTCCTAAATGTGCTCTGAATTCCCCTAGATGTGCTCTGAATGTGTAGAATGAAAAAATAACATCTTATCACATAGATACATTTAGGCTTCCTTTCGTGCACTTGTTTATTGATTTAATCAAATTATTAAATCTTAAAAGCTTTGTAATTACAAAGAATACGCCTTAGAATTTAAATCACTGTGATCTAAACCTCGTGTATATTTCTATAAACAATGTAAGGGAATTGTTTACATTTTATCAAAATATTCTAAAAAACTACAAGTTGTTTGGAATCAGATACACAACTAAATGTTTTATTAACGCTCAAAAATGTTCCTGAGACCCAGAATGATTAAGAATTTTTGCTTGATAAGTCTGGTCCCAACAACAGTTCTGAAAAAATCGTACAATTCTTCAGTGTTTAGAATGAGAATTGCACAGAACGTGATGAGTATTCTGCCTGTTAGAGACATAATTTCAAAAATTGCAATTTTACGAGTTTGTTGAAATGAGTTCATACTCCATTTAAATACAGTTGATTTTAGTTTAGAGTTAATTGTTGTTAAAAAATTAATTAAAGACTACGTTTATGAATGTAGCTCTTAAATATGCTAATTAAAAATACAATTTGCCTATTAATAAGTTACATATTTTACCGTTCTCTAAGTATTACTGTCTATTGTATAATGTGGTTTTAGATAATCACTGTGGAACTAAGTCCCACATTTCGGGTATTTGAATTGAATCTATCATTCTTTCCTATCTGTCATGTTTATCGTATTTTAACCAAAATTGGTTTCGTTTTTAGATTTGGTACATAGAGGAAGGAAACTGAAGAGTTCAAGCTTATCTCATAATCCCCTCAGATGTACACACGAACCACCCTATGGTAAAATTGATAGGGTGGTGGATTGTGTACATCACGATTTGTATCTAACATTGTACACTTGTATAAAATATAGATAGAAAAGATATTTTTAAATCAGAAATATATTTCTGTCGGATCAAAAAAAAATATCTGGTGTTATTCGTCTGAAGTTTGAACCTAATAAAGGGACTGTACGTGATATTTTCAGCGAGCCTCTACGCAATGAAGGGTACCCTCGACACTTTTAACCGATCAATAATGTGGAAGATATGGTCGTTTTTTTCTTCTTCAAGGTTTTAAAGTGTTTAATTATGAAAAAGGATATATATATAATTCATCCTTGATTAGACGAAGTTTATAAGGGTACCAATGCGAATATCGGGAATTACCTTTTTTATGGAGGGTCACCTTTAAGGTTGAACCACATTGGTCCAGTTTCTCCCTCTAGAACTAGTTTAAAACTAAATTATTTGTTTATTAAAGTAAAATTCAAATTCACGACAATTTTAATTTAGTAATCTTACAATCATGGCATAACTCTGTATTGTGTTAGGCCGATTTAAAAGGCTAGCCTGGAGTCTAAGTACCCTTGTATCAATCAACTCTATAAAAGGCTAGTCTCGAGTCTAAGTACCCTTGTATCAATCAACTCTATAAAAGGCTAGTCTGGAGTCTAAGTCTCCTTTTATCAATCAACTCTATAAAAGGCTAGTCTCGAGTCTAAGTACCCTTGTATCAATCAACTCTATAAAAGGCTAGTCTGGAGTCTAAGTCTCCTTGTATCAATCAACTCTATAAAAGGCTAGTCTCTACCCTTGTATCAATCAACTCTATAAAAGGCTAGTCTGGAGTCTAAGTCTCCTTGTATCAATCAACTCTATAAAAGGCTAGTCTCGAGTCTAAGTCCCCTTGTATCAATCAACTCTATAAAAGTCTTAAGTTAGGCCCGTCTTGATGAGCTTTGGTTGAAGTGATTTACTGGTGTTTTAAATTAGGGAATATAAGCGTAATGTCAAGTGACACTCCATGCAAAGATGTTAATGTCCGATTCACAACGGTACCCTTGAAGCCTTATCTGATCAACACTGTATTAAATACTAGATACGGTCGTTTATCGATGTTTAAAATTGTTTATTTGTGATAATTACTAAATGCAGTAGAAATGCGTAAGAAACTTAATTGCAGAAAACCCCTATTGAAAATAAAAGTTTATAAAATTATAAACATACATATCTAAATCATACTTGATCAGACAAAGCTTTTAAATTTACTATTGTGAATCGGGCATTGGCATCTTTGCATAGAGGGTCACTTGAAGTTACGCTTACACCTTACGCTTACGCTTTAATTCTCAGAATATTTTTTTTTTATAAATCGTGACCTCAGATAACCGCATACTATTTCCATAAATTGAAAATATAGTTCTTATAAATACAATACAAATATTTAATATTTATTTTGTCATTACATTTCATGTTCATTTCATCAGATCATTTTATAATATTAGTAATCGTTGTATAAACCAGATTTGGTTTAAAGAGGATTATCTTCTCTACACGTAAAAACTTCTATATTTTTGTAACCAGAATTATTCAGTGCATTCACTGATAGAAAAAATACTGCTGTGAAATAAAGTTTTATAATCATTTGTTTCAATATAGGAGAACAGAAATAAACATAGATAAATAAATAAACATAGATAGCTTATGTACGCAAAATCCCCAAGAATGGTACAGTCCGCGAACTCATACTTCTAAGGGTCAAAGTGTACTCCAATGATAAGCGGGGTGGTTTGGTGTTTTAATGGATTTCATAATAGTGTAAAATAACTCCGGGAATGGAACTATTTGAACAACAATATTTCATTGAGCAATATATAATATTGACGAGAACTGAAGAAGGACATGAGGAGGACTAAACTAACTTAAATTTCTCTCTACAGAACTCATGTACACCACAAGAACTTAATGACATAAGAACAGCCAATGTTCACAGCCGACCTAGTTAATCTATATAATAGGAATATCTTTAAACTTTCAAGATGAAAAATGTCGTTTTATGCGCAATCTATCTTTATCTATGGAAATAAATGATAAAGACCTATCCAAGGAGGTTTGCCAGGTCTACATCTCTTCTATACTCCGTCAATCAAAATGCAGAGAGACGAATTATGAAGGGGGGGGGGGGAGACAGGAACGCCCAACTCTACCTCTACCAGTGATTCTAAATGATAGAATAAATATAGATTTGTTTGTTTTCGTTAGAGGGTAATGGTTTATGAATGGATCTGTATTTTCTATCAAACTCGGCGCTAGAAAACATATAATTGTGAATAGAAATATAGACCTTTGAATATGTTTCCATAAGAAGATGAGCGAGTATATCAGATAATTGTATACCTAAATATTAATTCTGATATCAGAGTCACGCCACAGCTGTTAGTGCAAACTTAAAGGGAGTGTTCGCGAAAAATGAAAGGGGGTATAGGCTTAATGCGATAAAAAAGCGCCTTTGATCGCTACTAATCTTACTTCTATCTGTTGCGCCTATAAGGAGAAAATTGTTAAAACGACTTGTATACCGAAGAACGTAATGGTGTCCATACAAATTCAGAAAGACGCAACATTCAACTCGGATCGTAAACAAATCAATTTAATTCCAAACAAATCATTCAGATATTACAAACAATAGTCATCGATTATTTTCCTACGCATTCGTAAATAGTTGATTTATGTATTGTACAGCTTGTACAACATTGGGGGACAGGAAAGGTGAAAATGGAATATTTTTATATCCAGTGAAAGAAATTGTAACATTCATATACAATAAAAATCATTTCATCATAGGAATATTTACATAATTATTTCTGATGCATTACATTATTGGTGTAAATAATAAGAACATAGATAATGTACATGCAATGATGCAACTTAATTATTTGAGTATTCAGCTGTAACAGGAGGAAGCGGGGTTTATACGGTATACATACTCCAGGGTCTGCAGGGGTTTGTTTTAAACTTCGATTTTGGCATATATATGGATTTTGTAGGCATTTTGCAGCGTACACATCAATACAGTTAATGATCTGAGGGATAGAAAGATATTATCCCCCTAAAATATGTAAACAAAAATTAGAAAGTAAAGAAAGGATGCAAAGGAAAAACAACTTGTTTTTAAGAATACGTACAGAAACAACCCCATTTTCCCCAGCTTGCCTGCTGTACTAAGTACGCGGAACATCTACCAATATCTGCTCTGTGGTTGTGACCAAGGAGTATGAAATTAAAGGGAGATATAACTGACACGGCCCGTCTAATGTACAATTACCGCGTATACAATAAACTATTCTGAATATTTCTTCTACAAATGAAGTACCGTCTGCAAAGCATTTATAATCATATTGTATGGCGGGCCGCGTCAGTTGTATCTCCCTTCTATTTTATACTCCTTGGTTGTTTCTCTCGGAATCAAATATTTATTAAATTCCACTTTAATGACCTGAATATCTCGGATATTTGTTACATTAGAAGGTTAAAAAACTATAAATATACAAACAAATAAAAAAAAAACTCGAGTACAGTCTGCACATAAATTACTGTAAGTGTTAACATTTTTTAAGGTCAAAGATTAAGGAGCTAATATTTTGAGAGAACATCTAAATATAGGGATACCCACAATATATGAAACCTTAGGGGAGACTGAACGTAAATTATTTAGTGTCATTTTTTCCATTTTTTATCCCCGTAGCCTTTTTTTAATTACAAGGCAGAAAACCTGTTAATTAGTAACCTGTTAATTTGAAGAGTTTAAAGCTAACATTAAAATTCATATTAATTCTTGTGAAATTCATATAGTATGCTAGCGAAATCTCCAATTTTACAGCTACAGCTTTTTGCACTGTACTGATATATACTCTCTTTGCACTGTATGGTTGCACTTGAAGTCTCATATTTAGTATTCTTGATCTTCATCTTGCGTCAATGAGTGATACTTTCGAAATATTGACGCATTTCTTCAAGAATTGAGATATTCTCATCAATACTTGTCATTGCACTTTTACATCCTTCCAACCTAAAATATATTCGTTACAAATGTAAATTGATTTAGAGTATTTAGCTTAATATATATTTTATTTAGAATTCATAAATTTGATTATTATTTTTTTGTCAATAAATGAATACTTACTCTGCTGCCTTCCTGGCTTCTTTAAAGCAAAATAGGGCATCTCTAAATCCTGCATACACCTAGGGATAATGTAGTGTAGTGTAGTGTAGTGTAGTGTAGTGTAGTGTAGTGTAGTGTAGTGTAGTGTAGTGTAGTGTAGTGTAGTGTAGTGTAGTGTAGTGTAGTGTAGTGTAGTGTAGTGTACCTGTGTATCTGCCAGATTTTCAGTGTTTGTATCGCTACTCTGTCTTCGAACTGAAATAAAAAAGTAAATTAAAACTGGAAAACTAATGAATTGTTTCAAAAAATTTTGTCAAAACGTTTTCAATATTTATAATGTATTCCTTAACTTTTTAACCAATTTGTATCTTCTTTCATGCTTTTAGAAAATGTGGCTGGTGTGTGTTTGGCAATTTTCCTTCTTACTGGGTTCAAATTTTATCTGTTTAAAAATGTGTTTTTCATAAATGTATTCATGCCAGAAGATAACAAAATAGCATTATCTAAACATATTTGTAAAATTCAGATTTTTCAAGAGATTTCTCAGAATTTCTTGGTGGAAAATAAATTAAATGAAAGAAAATTTGATTTTTTATTAAATATATCAAACCATAGAAATATATAGCTGAGAAAATATTCAAATATATTTGAGTAAAGGGATTTTAGGCGTAATTTTGTGGTGTATCCGATTCAAAACCTTTAAACCGTTGACTGTTCAGTGCTCAAGGATGATGGACGTATCCTTTATTTATCTATCTACAGAATTAAACCCTTTCAGTTATTGAAAACTTCATTTGCAAACTGAATTGCTTTTTAGAAGTCGCAGAAAATTAATACCAACTGAAAATCTGGTTTCTGGATTTTCGAGTAGTGAAAGTACCATCAGCTGTGTAGTGTTGAGATTACACTGTACGCTTAAGTACACTCTAGTTTTACGGCGATATGAACACCATACTGTTGTTAACCCTATCCCTGCTGGGGTACTTGAAAACCAGGATATGCTGGGGGGGGGGGCAATTTGACCCCCCCCCCTCTAAATCCCATGTTTTATGTCCAAATATGACAAATGATACATCATTAGAAAGCTCTTGTGCTCTACTTTTAGAATCAGCAAAAAATTTGCAAATTTGCAAAAATTGAATTTTTTATCGCAAAATCCAGTTTCGTAGTAAAAATGTTTGCAAAAAAAAAATTTGTCCAAAAAATATAAAATTATACATTTTTGAAAAGCCCTTGACCATGCCATTTCAAATATGCAAGCTGTGCAGTGTTGAGATCACACGGTACGCTAAAGTACACTCTAGTTTTACGGCGATATGAACACCATACTGTTGTTAATAACATCATCTGTGCAGTGCTGAGATCACACGGTACGCTAAAGTACACTCTAGTTTTACGGCGATATGAACACCATACTGTTGTTAATAATATCAGCTGTGCAGTGTTGAGATCACACGGTACGCTAAAGTGCACTCTAGTTTTACGGCGATATTAACACCATACTGTTGTTAATAATATCAGTTGTGCAGTGTTGAGATCACACGGTACGCTAAAGTACACTTAAGTTTACGGCGATATGAACACCATACTGTTGTTAATAACATCATCTGTGCAGTGATGAGATCACACGGTACGCTAAAGTACACTCTAGTTTTACGGCGTATGAACACCATACTGTTGTTAATAACAACAGCTGTGCAGTGTTGAGATCACACGGTACGCTAAATTACACTTAAGTTTACGGCGATATGAACACCATACTGTTGTTAATAACAACAGCTGTGCAGTGTTGAGATCACACGGTACGCTAAAGTACACTTCAATTTACGGCGATATGAACACCATACTGTTGTTAATGAGGCAATCCCCTCTTTTAATGGAGAGTCACGTGAAATTAAACGTACAGTCCCTTTAAATGCCAGTTTGGTTACATGATATACTGGTCCTTTAACTACCTAAGAACCAGTATCTGAGCAAGAAACAGAAAATTGAGTAACAATTTGGAAATAGTCCTTGTAAATGCATTTTGATTTTGCATATGGTGATGCTTATAAAAAAATAGAATAACGAAAAAGCCTTTAATCTTTTTCATAAAATATTTGACCTTTAAAATGAGATATTACAACGCTGATTTGTATACAATACAATCTCGAAGTCGTTGGATAATTTATTGGGACTACCTCTCTGTTAATTTAAAAAAATTTGTTTGTTATATTAAAGGGAGGGTGCGTTTGTGTTCACTCTCATTCTTTACCTATTTCATCTGATAGAAGAAGCTGTAAGTTTGTTCCAAGATTAACCAGAAGTGATTCTAAACAAGAAAAAATTCAGTATGTTTGTTGTATATAAAAGCATAACCACGTGCACAGTCCATTTTTATCTCGCATGAATTGATATTGGATATCTCTGAATATACATGAATGGATATTGGATACCTCTAAATATGCATTAATGGATATTGGATACCTCTGAATATGCATGAATGGATATTGGATACCTCTTAATATGCATGAATGGATATTGGATACCTCTGAATATGCATGAATGGATATTGGATACCTCTGAATATGCATAAATGGATATTGGATACCTCTGAATATGCATGAATTGATATTGGATACCTCTGAATATAGATAAACCAGGATCTAGGACATCAACAAGCTCTAGCATATCCTTCCCGGCAGATATCTTCAGTAAAGTATCCTCAACTAAAAATAAATATTTTTTTATTAAGATAATTATAAAATGTAAAGAATGAATGTGAAAGTAAAACCTTTCCGTTGTTTAAAATCAGATAACAATAACTCTTTTCATTCTGGAGACTTTTATCTTATATTTAATCAAACCCTTTTCTTCTAACTCCTCTTTAGTAAAAATAAAGAAGTATTATACACTTCAAAACAAAAGAATCCGGAGGGCAAAACTTGTGTGAATTAAATTTCTAGGTTTAGCTCTGTCTACTTTTACCGTTGAACGCTAAACCTTTTAGAGCGCCGTTAAAGATATGGTTAACCAATCAAAAGTCAGGGACAAAATTTATTAAATTTGAGAGAGGTCGCTGAACTATTAGTTCAAATCCTAAACCACCGATTAAACGCTTAAGATGAGGGGTTGAATCAGGGATTCAGGATTTGAAGTTCAGCGGCCTCTCCAATTCATTGAATTCGGTCCCAGACCAATTGTTGGGTTTTAGGGCTTTCATTCGTTGTTATAATTTTCCCAATATTGTCTCTCTATTTGTCTGACGGTGCCAGGGCACGGATATATTTCCCTCGAGTTAAAAATTGAAACCTTTTAGCTCTAAAGTTTCCCCACTAGATATGGAGTTTAGTTGCTGAAACTAAGCGCTATTCAGAACAAAAGTTTCGACCTTAGATAGATTATTCGACTGAAAGTACACATCATTATCCTCACTATAACGAAACGCGCGATATATCCAGGAAAGGATCGTCTAAACCTGAGCAATCCAAAATGTGTGGAAAATGTAATAATTTCAATATTTACGGAGTTTTCAATAATAAAAGGAAAGGAAAAGAGATAAAAAGTTACCTACAAGAACGAGACTTCAAAGATGTTTGTAAATAAAATTCTCATTCTTAGTGGATAGCCCAATAACTTTGATCTTTTTAAAGCCTCAGATTGAAGGAAATTTCTTGTAAAATTATTTAAAAAATATAAATACTTCTTTTAGATCTGATACAATAATCTGATCTCGTTTATTTTATTTTCTTATTTTTTAAAATATGAAATAATTTTCCTTTCTTTACCTGACTCTTCCACTGAGAATTGTAGAAAGAATTTAGCTCGTTCTGCCGTGTGAAGGTAGTGGTTAGGATGTAGTATTCTTTTATTCTGCTCTCTATATATACAGAATACAGATAGAATAGGTAGTGGTTAGGATGTAGTATTCTTTTATTCTGCTCTCTATATATACAGAATACAGATAGAATAGGTAGTGGTTAGGATGTAGTAGTCTTTTATTCTGCTCTCTATATATACAGAATACAGATAGAATAGGTAGTGGTTAGGATGTAGTATTCTTTTATTCTGCTCTCTATATATACAGAATACAGATAGAATAGGTAGTGGTTAGGATGTAGTAGTCTTTTATTCTGCTCTCTATATATACAGAATACAAATAGAATAGGTAGTGGTTAGGATACAGTATTCTTTTATATCTCTCTTTCTCTTTCTATAGTGATCACAAGAAAACAATGGAATAGGAAGACGACATTATATCAATACTTATGTGTATTGTATGGTGTTACAAAGCAAATATTTACTAGTTACTTTTAAAATTACTTATTTTGTGAAATGGGTCTGTTTGCACTGCACAGTTGCTTTCTTTCATGGTCATTGGACTTTTTTAAAGCTAAAACTTAATTCTCAATTAGTCGTCATACTATTCTGGTTATCACTGTATAGATATGTATAATATATATATATATATATAAGTAGATATATAATGAAATAAGTATTCTTTATTCTGTAACAATGAGGAAGATTTCGTTGGTTTTCTCTAGGGGAAAGGGTAAAATTTGACAAGTTTTTACTTTATATCTGCTGCATAAATTAACTTTCGTGGAGAAAGAACATTAAATTTATCATTTTTGAGACAGATAATGGGTCAGACTAAGATTTTAAAAGTAGTGTTTTGAATCAGGCTTAATTTCCCTTCTTTAAAAAGTTAACAACAATTTTGTTTAATTAATTAATTTTACGTTTTTTTTGTATTTCTTACCTAAAAGTTCGGTAGCGCTGAGACCTGGAGCCCTAAAAATCATTCTCAGTGATGATTTTAAATTTTAATTACAAAAAAAATTTCGAAATAGTTTTGTAGCTCATTACAGGCTTCAATTCCTTCAATTCCTTCAATTCCAACCTGATCATTTTCTAAAAGCATATTCGTACTTTTGAATTTATACAATATTTTATCAGATAGAAATTTGATTTTAAAATTAAATATTCATTTTTCCTATTTTCCTTCATCCATAAAATATTTTAACTCCGGAAAAACCGGGGCGTACTTAAAGGGACTGTAAGCGTAATTTCAAATGACTCCAGCTGCATTTATAGAGTGCAGGCATTTCCGATTCACAACGGTACTCTTTAAAATGTTGTCTCAACTTAAGGATGAATGATATATCCTTGTTTTTCGTTCTGAAAATTAATCACATTTAACTGTAGTTTCTCCACAAAGTGAATTGCGGATTTACAGTGAAGAAAAACTCGGGAAATTGTAAGAATCTTTCAAAGATAGCCAAGAATTACAAAGATATATTTCTAATTGTTAAAGGGTGCAAGTTGATTGGATATCTCACTCTTTTAATGGTGGGTCATTTGAATCTACGTATACAGTCCCTTTAAACAAGTTTGGGCGTTTTAAGTTATTTTATTGTTTATTTTAACATTGGGGAAAGGCATCATTAAACTCTGAAAAAAAAACTTGTTAAGAATTTGTATTTTATTGTTCCTAGTCAATATTTAAACCACAGAATTGTCAACGTTTTGGAGAGGATAAAGAATGAAAAGATCTTTAATTAATTTATCGGTTCCAATCAATATGTGTCTTTAAAGAAAGGTTCTCTATGGAACCAAACAGCAGGACCTAAGACAGTGCCGTGAACAAGAGAATAGCACCGACAGATCTTTTATTTCATCTGTCCCCTCTTTCTATTTTTTATATCTGTCAATTAATTAATCATTTAACCTTAATTCTGTCCTATATTCTAGAGTTACAAGATAAGAAAGGAAATAATGATGTTCTACCTTTTATCCTACAAAGGAAATTCACTTTGCTTTTTCTGGATAGAACTGTTTTCTATACTTCTTTTATGTGTAGATAACATGCAATAGAGATTCTATATGTTTTCTCTGTAATTCCATTTAAAGAGACTAAAATTTCAAGTGATCCTTCATTTATAAAATGGCACGTCTAATTCACAACGGTACCCTTAAAAGCGTTGCTCATAAGGTGTGAATTAGATATACATGTTTTTTGTAATTTTAAAACTGTATAATGTTTATTTTCATTTCTGGTTTCTCTACAAAAGTGAAGTGCGCTTTTCTTACGTTAAAAACAGTAAAGAAAATATTAGAATTAAACACATTTTAAGCCAGAGGAAGGATGTTATCAGATAAAGATTTAAATGATCCAGTTTGAATCTTTATAAAGAGGGTCAATTTTTAATTAAGTTGATCAATCTTTATTTTAGTTTTTTACCTGGAATGTTTTGATGTCTTCTCGTATACTCAGGAGGAGAGTGCTTACAAATCTTCAGATTCAAAATATTCAAATTTCAAACTGTTCATTGCTCAAGTTATAGTGTAGTGTACACTAAACAGTACTCTGTACAGTAGTGTACTCTTAACAGTTTACTGCTCATTGCTCAAGTTATAGTGTAGTGTACACTAAACCAATAAATATCTAGACCAGGAACCGCCATATCTGATGCGTCAAATATGTGTACTGCAGTGGGAGGAGATCAAAACAAAGAATTTAGGGGCAACGCATCGTTTTTGAGGGAAAAGGGCCCAAGGGTTGGAATACGAATATATTGCTATTGTATTTTCCATGTTGACCAGAAAGCCAAAAATCATAAGTATTCGCACTAACTTGATTATATTAACTTTTTTTTTGTTGGACTGTAATATAACATCAGAGCTTTAGTCTTTTCCCTTCAACTTCTGTGGGGGCACTGGGTTTGTTTACATTCCTCCCACAGTGTACAATACATAATATGAGTATATCTGAGTTTGCTGTTTTTGTATTAGTTCCTTGCACTAAACAGTGTACAGCCTTAAGTATAAAGCTTTACAGTGTACCCCTAAAACCCCTACTGGTTTCAGTATAAGCAAAAAATGTAAATCGGTATTTTATTTTCAAATCAAACAATAATTCAAAATAAGCTTTTTTAACCCAAATTTTCCTTTAATTAACTTTTATTAAAATTCTTGAAAAAATGTAAAAAATATAAATACAATTCCAACGCATGAGGGAAGAGACAAAATTACTTCAACAAAACTTTACTATTTACTTCTTTTCTAAAAAAAAATTCATTCTAATTTATAAGCAAAATCCCTACTCTGATTTCATCACATAATATCAATAAAGTAAAACTTTTTGATCTTGTCACTAACTCTCCAAACAGAGAAGTTATAATTTGAATCCAACGTAATTTAGAATATGTTCCTGCCGTCCACAGTTTCCTGACAGGATAAACATTTCCAGGTACAATCCTGGTTCAGGGGGTTCAAGGGGATACACACCCCCTCACATCTAGAATATACATAGATAAACATTTCAAGGCACAATCCTGGTCCAGGGGGTTCATGGGGATACACACCCCCTCACATCTAGAATATACATAGATAAACATTTACAGGTACAATCCATGTCCAGGGGGTTCAAGGGGATACACCACCCCCTCACATCTAGAATATACATAGATAAACATTTAAAGGCACAATCCTGGTTCAGGGGGTTCAAGGGGATACACACCCCCTCACATCTAGAATAAACATAGATAAACATTTAAAGGCACAATCCTGGTTCAGGGGGTTCAAGGGGATACACACCCCCTCACATCTAGAATATACATAGATAAACATTTCAAGGTACAATCCATGTCCAGGGGGTTCAAGGGGATCTCACATCTAGAATATACATAGATAAACATTTCAAGGTACAATCCATGTCCAGGGGGTTCAAGGGGATACACACCCCCTCACATCTAGAATATACATAGATAAACATTTCAAGGTACAATCCATGTCCAGGGGGTTCAAGGGGATACACACCCCCTCACATCTAGAATATACATATTTATATATACACTGTACAGATTATTTACTATCAAATATTTCAAAAATAGAATTCGTCTTGAATACAGTTCCACAAGGTAATAATTTATCAACCGGTTTACCCATAAAGGATGAGAATATAAAGACGACCTGAAACTTTTAAAATATAAAGATATAAATTGAGTACAATCGTCTCTGAAGTCTCATCCTTTGTGGATAATCCTGTATGGGAAAGTATTTATTATTTTAGTTTGTTTTTGAGTTAAAATTTTACATTTATGGATAAAAGTAAATATATTTTAATATCTTTATATATAAAAGTAGCCTCTGTTTGTACGATCATAGCTCAGGAGCCCCTGGACTGATTTGCTTACAAATTTTTATTGGGTCACTAGTAAGTTGATTTGCTGGACTTTTATAGGGAAAACTTAGTTTAAAAGAGAGTGACCGGCCGGCTATGTAAGGATGTAAATTAGATGAACTGAGTATGCAGTGTTGTGGAAAACTTCTTTCGAATTCATTTGAGACGTATTAAACTTTTTAAAGATCTGTAAATCCTGATTTTAAGCGCAAATTCGACGTTTAAAACTCCTACTTTGGAGGTGGATAATTTAATAATAATTAAAGAAAACTAATTCTACTTTACATAGCCGGTCAATCCCTTTAAGGCAAAGCTCTGTTTCTAAGCTAGTAAACAAAATTAGTCTGAGTAACATAAAACTAATTATTTTCCCTTTTTTTTGAGTATCAATATACAATATACAGTATACAATACAGTACAATATACAATACAATAAAATATACAATATACAATACAATAAAATATACTATACAATACAGTATAAATACCTTTGACAGTAAATGCTACTAGTATAAGAACTGCACTCGGTTGGATCACAACACCTGTAATCAGAAAAATACTATAATCACAAAATCCTGTGTTTTGTAAATTGTGAAAAGATTCAACTAAAAGACGACTTTTGGTTCATTGCACAATTTTTGTTTTTTTGTATGCAAAAATTGACTATTAAAATGTCAACTTAGGTTTAGCAGTTGTGCCCCTTGTCCGAAGTTTTATGGTTCATACTGTATTTGAGGTTATCATTACCTTTTACAATGACAATCTAAGAATGATTCTCTAAGAAGTCGTCTTCTCTCCAGAGTTCCAATAGGAACCACTTCTGGAAGACGACAATATGTAATCTTTTCTCCTAAATACAAGAGGAAGATTATTAAGGAACTAAAAACGTAATTTCAAGTGACACTGTATTTTTAAGTGGCATCTCCGATTCACATTCATACCCTTTAATGCTGTGTGTGATAAAGAATTAATGATATATCCATGATTTAACTTTGAAAACTGATTTCCAACTGTGATTTCTATAAAAAATGGACCTTAGGGTTTCTGTTACATAATTACATTGGAGGAAATTGTTCAGATTTAACGTGGTTTTCAAGTTGGAAAAACAACGATACTTCCAAGTTCATTATATCAGATAGATGTTTATATGGTAATATGATGTTAATGTAATAGTCAGCAATTTTACAATTTATAATCCCCTTCCTGTTAAGGGGCTGTAGACGTGATTTCAGCATGACTCTCAATTTTTTTTATTCTTTAAGCAACAATTTTGCGTGCATCTTGTAACAATAATTTTAATATTTTTTGCTGACATTAATGAAGGTACAGTAATAGATTTACAAACTAAGCAATTAATGGTAAATATGTTTTACCTTTCTTTATAAATTTACAAACTAATCAATTACTGGTAAATAGGTTTTACCTTTCTTTATAAATTTACAAACTAAGCAATTAATGGTAAATAGGTTTTACCTTTCTTTATAAATTTACAAACTAATCAATTACTGGTAAATAGGTTTTACCTTTCTTTATAAATTTACAAACTAAGCAATTAATGGTAAATATGTTTTACCTTTCTTTATAGGAACAGATGCATAAACAAACATCTTGGGTTGATCTCCCTGATTTTCAAATAAACCTTTTTTGTGCATGCATGTACAGTGTGTCTCAAAAGGGTAAATATTTTGTCAATTTGTCAAGTCTGATAAAAATGAGGAAAGCAATAATTTTGATATTTTGATCCCCTTTATAAAACGATAACAGAAACAAAACTTTAAGAAATTTAAATTTTTTAACCAACAAAATTTGTTTAAGCACCGCGCCGAAGCCATGTTAAACTTAGTAAAAAAAGTCTTCAAATTTGTATTCAACATTATTTAAAGAAGAAATGCTATTAGGTTAAAATTGGCTTTGACGGTGCTCCAAAGATTTACTTAGATGAAAATTTTACATTTTAAAATTTTACAGAATAAAGGTTTAGAATAAAACAATTTAGATATATATAAACATACATTCTACAAGAGAGGAACAGAATTTGGATGTATGATCAGCTAAAAAGAAGATACAACAGTCAGAAAAAAAATTCACTGCTCTTTTAAAAATTTTGTTAAAAAAGTATATATATTAATGCGAAAACAAATGCTAAAAAAAGATATATACATACAGTGAAACCCTTAATAACGCATACATCGGAAGAATTTATCAAATGTCGTCTTGACAATTTTTCAATGAGTTTTATACTGTATTACGTAAATTTAATTTTTTGCGAAAATAAATAAATAGCCATGAATATACGGGAACAGTTTTAAAGAGTTCCATATTATGATTTAATTAAAAAACTAAATATCTGCAACATTCCATTATCAGAAAGTGAAGAATACGACATTTGATGAATTCTTTCGATGCATTCGTTATTAAGGGTTTCATTGTACATAAACCAGAATATAAAGTTATAGGTTAGATCCCAATATGGAGGCTTTTAACACACAGACTGGTTTCAAAACCCCTAATTGCACTGTCATATAAAGGTTGCAATCCCTTAAGAAAAAAAATCAAGAAAATTTTCCAAATTACTTCTAATCCCGATTCTCTTCTCAGGAAGAATTTGAAAGAGCTCGGTTTAATTTGTTCCTTTATGATGATTCTTGTATTCTGTATACATGAATGTGTGAGCAGTCCACCCTGCAGGTAAACACCGTGTAAACTTATACCTAAGCAATAAAAATGTCGTCTTCGTGAAAATTTAAATAATCTTTTATAAATAAACTTAAGAAATGGAAAACGATGTTGGGGGGGGGGGGGGGTTCCCTCCCAAAAAAAGTTGTAACTTTACACAAAATAGGATGATGACTGATAGAAAACTTGTATTTTACTTTACATATTTATGTAACATTTCAAAAGTTTCATTATATTTTTTTTTAAATCAAGAACCGTTCTTTAATGTAAATAACTTTTTCTTTAAAATTTCAAAATTTAAACATTGATTTATTTGTTTATTTTTTTATGTTTATTCAAACATCTATTTGTGTTTGAATATTTGATATAAATATTTTGTACAGACCTTCTGATCTAGCAATAATACAAGAGCTTGTCGCTGCCAGATACACTGAGGAGATATCTTCAATAGAGTAGTTCAATCCACAATCATCCCTACACAATATATGTATATATGATATATATAAAGTAATAATCTCCGTTTGGGTGTCTTGGTGTCTGTTTGTTTGTTTGTCCGATCTTAACTCAGAAACCCCAGGACCAATTTGCCTCAAATTTTGATTAAGGGATTCGGGAGAACCACGGGAATTTTCTTAGCTTGGTGTTGAGATCCTAAGTTTTATAGGGAAAAATAGCTAAAATCGCAAGTTACCACCAAGCGCGGGTAAATGGCGGGAGCAACTATAAGTACCCTGGGCAACGCTGGGTTTTCAAGCTAGTATATATTAAGGTTCCCATTAAATACATATATATACACATAAAGTGAGAACCCGAAAACTAGAAAATATGAAGACGACTTTAAACTGAAAGTATAACTGTATACAGACCAATGAACATATGAGACACAGCAATTTTACAATGTAAACACGCCCATAGTGATTTAATAAGTGTCTAGCTAGTGTAACTATTTGTTTTGTGACATCATCAAAAACACTTAAATATTGCAATATATAAAGTTGTAAGAAAAATATATATTTTCTGCACATTTAGCTGATAATTGATAATATTCAGATTGGAAGAAGAAGTATAAATGTAAATAATTGGAAAACTGTAATTAATTATTAAAATATTTGATGTCTAATATCGATAAAGTGCATTTTATATGTGTTATTGTCATACTGAAAACATTCTTTTCACGTTCATTTATTTAATATTGAAATTTTTTTATTATTATAATTTTGTATTTATTATAAAACATATATTCATGGAACTTTGGAAGTATCTGTTGAAAGTAAATGTTCGTTAAAAGAAACCAATTATGTTCATCATTTATTGTTCATTGTTCATTTTGAGCTGGATTATGATGAACTCCAATTCATGAATTAAAAGAAGTGTCTTGTCCGATTCACACTTTGTCTGATCAAAAGTTAATGAGATATACATATTTTCTTTTTAATAATTTTTTTTATATTGTGATTTCTATAGAAGTGACTTGCAGATTCTTGGCTGCAGAAAAAAATGGAAACATTTTTGATAATTTAACATCTTTGAGGCTAAAAAGATGAAATGTCACTAGAATTTAAAACGCCAGTTTCTTTAAAGGAAAGGATAAATATATATTTTAAGTGGTCTCGTCTCTGTACCTGATAAAGAAACTAGATCCTGAATCCTGGTTTAGTATATCCGGAGCAAGATCTAAACTCTGTACCTGATAAATGAAACTAGATCCCTTAGTCCTGGATTATGGTTTAGAATATCCGGAGAAAGATCTAAACTCTGTACCTGATAAATGAAATATAGATCCCGAAGTCCTGGATCCTGGTTTAGAATATCCGGAGCAAGATCTAAACTCTGTACCTGATAAATGAAACTAGATCCCTAAGTCCTGGATCCTGGTTTAGAATATCCGGAGAAAGATCTAAACTCTGTAAACCATGATCACATAATCCTTGAAGTTTCTCCCATATCCTCAGGTTCTTCTAAAAGATAAAGACGAGAAAGATAAACCAGAGCTGGGAACTTTAGAATGGTGGATATCAGGATTAATGCTTAATCCTCTGGTTTTGTTAATCTCGAGACTGACATAATCTTGAGATTATGTTAGTCTTCTCGAGACTAACATAATCTCGAGATTATGTTAGTCTTGAGATCAAATATTTAGATCAACAACTTGGATTCTAGGAACGCCAGATTTGTTGACTGGAAGGGCCATCACTTATTTGTCACCTATTTGTTAATTAATACATTAGTTAAAATTGGTTACAAAAGAATCTCAATTGTATTATTAAATATTTTTCTTCACCAATTAATTTACAAAATGGCCAACAACAAAATCTTTATTTGTTAGAAATTGCGGATTTCTCTCATGGGATGGAATTTATTTTCAAGGCTGTCATTGGTCAATACAATTTACGAACTATATTCCTGCACTCTCATTGGAGAAAACAATGTACGGATATCCAAAGAGAGAGAAAAAGAGTGGATTAAGGACTAAAATTAAAAGTTTCCACAGTGGATATTCGGATTAAGTAATTGGGATTAAAGGTTATCCATTCTAAAGTTCCCAACTCAGATAACTTTGTACATTTTTTTTATAATAAAAGTGTACTGCAGTGTGTACTACTGTAAACAAACACTGTTCTGCTCAGTCCAAGTTTTGTTTATATATTCCTCCTGGAAACCACATTATGCTTTTTGTAAATAAAGCTGTATCTGATGGAGGGATCAAGGATAGATTTAAAGACACATACAGAAAGACGCAATGTGAATAATATAGATAAAGATAAGCTAGTATATAGCAGTACAATTGTAGAGAGAAATAAGGACGGGTTGGATAGCAATAGATGTAAAGTATACCTTGAGAAGAATACATCTCTGAGAGAGAAATAAGGACGGGTTGGAAAAGAATAGATGTAAAGTATACCTTGAGAAGAATACATCTCTGAGAGAGAAATAAGGAAGGGTTGGAAAAGAATAGATGTAAAGTATACCTTGAGAAGAATACATCTCTGAGAGAAAAATAAGGACGGGTTGGAAAAGAAAAGATGTAAAGTATACCTTAAGAAGAATACATCTGAGGGAAAGAACATGACGTGTAGGTAAACCAAGCTCCGGGCCCTTCACTGTACACGAGGAAAGAAGACGACATTCCTCCTGGATTAATTTTTACAATATCTAAATTTAAATTCAACAATTTAAAACTAGAAACTATATTGATAAGACAAGAAGTTATAGAAACAATAGATTTACAGCTTGTGCCCGGTCAATGCAAAATGATATCCAAAGATTTTTTATTTTAAGGTAAACCCTTGTCCTATTTACAGAGTTCCTCACAAAAGGATGATATTTATTTTGACAGATTTTCCGGTCAAAATTAAAGTCTCATTCTTAGTGGGTAACCCTGTATGCTATCTATATATAGCTTTGAACTCAGTTTTATTTTATACCTGATGAATATCTGAGTGTACACATCGTTGACACAATGTCCACCAACATCTGAACAAAAATTGTATGTATATGTGCAGTTTATGTTTACCTGGAGAAATCCTCTGGTGTAAATTATGCATGGAGCAAATTACTCTGGTATATGGAACACCTGGAGCAACCTTCTGGAGTATAAAGTATACCGGAAGCAAACAACCTGAGTATAAATTATACAGCTGAAGCAAACTGCTTGAGTTTAAAATATACCTGGAGTAAAATTCTTTATTACAAAGTTTATCTGAGCAAACAGCTTTGGTATAAAGTATACCTGGAGCAAACTGCTGGAGTATAAAGTATATCTGGAGAAAATTGCATGAGTATAAAGTATACCTCGAGAAAACTGCTTGAGTATACAGTAAAACTGGAGCAAACTGCTTGAGTTTAAATTATACCGGGAGAAAACTGCTTGAGCATAAAGTACACCTAAAGTAAACTTCTTGAGTATAAAGTATACCTGGAGTAAACTGATTGAGTATAAAGTATACCTGGAGAAAACTGCTTGAGTATAAAGTAAAACTGGAGCAAATTGCTTAAGTATAAATTATGCCTGGAGTAAACTGTTTGAGCATAAAGTATATTCGGAGAAAACTGCTTGAATATAATTAGTACACATTGAGAAAATTGCTTGAGTATAATATTAATGTATACCTGGAGCAAACTGCTTCAGTAGAAAGTATACCTGGAGAAAACTGCTTGAATATAAAGTATACCTGTATATAGATTATACCTGGAGCAGACTGCTTGAGTGTAGAGTATTCGTGTAGCAAACTGCTTGATTATAAGTATACCTGGAGCAAACAGCTTGAGTATCTCTAGAGCAAACTATACATGAACCCTGAGAATCTCCGGGTCCGACAGCTACAGGATGTTCACTAAAGATAAGTTCTCCGGCCTCAAGATCTCTGAGAGCTACTAGGTGCCTTGACAATCATTTAAAATAAAAAAATCTGAAGGGAATTTAAACTGTTTTTTGTCGTTAAACGTTTTGACGAAAAAAGTCAATAAATTCTATTTTCTCTTTATTAATAGTAAAAAGCTATATAAGTCTAAAACTACTGATCAATATCATCCATATTTGATGAAACTAATACAGAGAAGCACTCTCACAACTTGATGTTTATTTTTAATAAGTTCTTGTGAATAAAATATTTAATACTTTCCAGCAAATTTTATTGAAATTTTCTCTTTTACTTGCTAAAAGTTTACAATGCAGTTTTGTGAAGCTGAGAAAAACTGAACAAAACTGGAACTATCACTCAACTTTACTGTAACTAACTGCGCTAAACTGAAAACTAACAGAATACAAGCGTAATTAACTGCACTTAGCTGTAATTAACTGCACTTCGCTGTAACTAACTGCACTTTGTTGTAACTAACTGCATAGTTCTTAGAACATTTTGTAAATCTCACTACTAGTTTCTAGTAGTTAAGTGGCCATGCTTCACCTAAGCTTATGAATTACTTTTTGACCTTTAAAATGATTGTAGCCTTACTTTTCTACTGTTACGTCTAATTAGTAATTGTGAATAACTTTAAATTAAGTTTTACAAAAGATTTCAAATTGATTTCAGATCAAATACGATTCTAGTTCTTAATTAATTTATGTGGCAGAAAATCCTACCTAGAGTTTTCCTCAGTTTCCAGTATACGGAATAGAACAGGATCAAGGTTTTCCATTTTATTCTGATATTCAAGTTATTCAGCTTCATAAACCTTTATAAAAGATGAATATGAAAACAGTTTAGTAAACAGATGGAAATGGCGGGAAAAGAAAAATGACGACAAACATATCTAAATTATTAAACAAAATACATCACTCTTCACAACCTAGCCATAAAAATACAGTTACTATGTAGAAACCTATAAACAACAGGTACTTGAAACCTATAACCAGACCCTAGAAACCTGGAACCAGATCCTTTAAAGCCTGGAACCGATACTTGAAACCAGAAACCAGATGCTTGAAACCTGGACCCAAATACTTGAACCTGGAACCAGATAATATAAACCTGGAACCAGACACTAGAAATCTGGAACCAGACACTAGAAATCTGGAACCAGACACTAAAAATCTGGAACCAGATACTAAAAATCTGGAACCAGACCCTAGAAACCTGGAATCAGATACTAGAAACCTGGAAACAGATACTTGAACCTGGAACCAGATGATGCTTGAACCTAGTTACTAGAAAATCTAGAACCAGATACTTGAAACCTGAAACCAGATACTTGAACCTTGAACCAGATACTTGAAACCTGGAACCAGATACTTGAAACCTGGAAACAGATACTTGAAACCTTGAACCAGATACTTGAAACCTGGAATCAGATACTAGAAATCTGGAACCAGATATTTGAAAACTGGAAACAGATACTAGAAACCTGGAACCAGATAATAGAAAATTTGACCCAGATACTAGAATCCTGGAACCAGATACTAGAATTCTGGAACCGATACTAGCAACTTGAAACCAGATACTAAAAATCTTAAACAAGAAACTAGAAACCTTGAACCAGATACAAGAAACCTTGAACCAGATACAAGAAACCTAGAACTAGACACTAGAAACCTGGAACCAAACTAGACACCTGAAACCAGATACTAAAAATCTGGTATCAGATAATAGAAACCTGGAACTAGATACTAGAAACCTGAAACCAGATACTAAAAATCTTAAACAAGAAATTAGAAACCTGGAACTAGATACTAGAAACCTGAAACCAGATACTAAAATCTTAAACAAGATTCTAGAAACCAGGAACTAGATACTAGACACCAGAAACAGGTACTAGAAACCTGAAACTAGATGCTAGAAACCTGGAACCAGATACCAGAAACCTGGAACCAGTTACTAGAAACCTGGAACCAGATGCTAGAAACCTGGAACCAGATAATAGAAACCTGGAACCAGACACTAGAAATCTGGAACCAGATACTAGAAACCTAGAACCAGATAATAGAAACCTGGAACCAGACACTAGAAATCTGGAATCAGATACTAGAAATCTGGAACCAGATACAAAAAATCTCGAACCAGATACTAGAGATCTGGAACCAGTTACTTAAGACCTGGAACCAGATATTAGAGACCTGGAACCAGATACTAGAAATCTGGTACCAGATACTATAGAAATATGGAACCAGATATTAAAGAAAACTTAAAAGATGAAAAATGTATTTTTTTTGTATAAAACAAGATAAGTAATTTGTTAAAAGTTTGTTCCCCCCCCCCCCTGCCCAACTCCCTTCACCTCTGAAATATGAAAACCTTGAAATAATTGCACTGACCTACTCGTCTAACCTTTAATAGTTTGGTGAATGATGTGAGGGTTATAAATCAAACGAATTGAACAAATCAGATTAAAGTACATACAGTCTACTTCGATTCTGTCCACGCCATTATAAAAAAATTACTGAGCCTAATTGTATTTAGGATTCAAGTCAACAAAAAATCGTAGCAAAAAATATTTTTATATTATCAGACAATACATTCTTGTAAATTTTTCTAAAATTTAAAAGATTATCAGCATCTTGCCATATTTTGCATGAAATTAAATTTGTTTTGTTTTTTCAACCATTTCTACAGTTTAAAATCTTGCGATTAAATATTTTTAGGAGCACAAATCCTTTCTTATTTATTCTCAGCTTAGCCCGTTCTAAAGTACACAATGTTTAAACTTGAAAATCATCGGGTTTTTTTTCCGTTATTAAACTGTTTAAAATGTTTTGTTTAAGAAAAGGTTGAAACTTCTCCAAGAAATATTGTTTTATTCTTGACTCTCAGACTAAAACAAACAAAGCAGTAATTTTCTAAAGAATGCAATCGGGAAAAGGTCAAACACGTTTTGAGCAATTTTTTAAAAATTTATACCTCTTCTCAGTATACTTGCATAAAAGTAGTGTGATAAAGATTGAACTATTTTAATCAAGTGAAAATGAATTACAAAAAATTAAATCTGTAAATTATTCCCTCTCTTCCATATTTATTTTAAGTTCTATCTTAAACGTCGAAGATAAAATGTTTGTACACCTTAAAAACACACAAAAATTCAAGAAAGAATATTTCCTAAATCATGGAAAAAAGAAGAAATAATTCTAGAAATATATAAATGATTGCAGTGAATACCCCCCCCCCCCATAAAATATATAGAAAACAAACTTTATACTATAAATTTTAATTTTAACATTTCTAAACAATTTAGTGGATAAAAGAATTTGAAACATTAATACAAAATTCTTTAATATAATGAGATAACTCTGAGATAAATTTACTTGATACCATTGAATAACATTATACAATGGTACCAAGTAAGTAAAAGCAGTTTTGATATCTCAATATTTGTTATTGTTATTTCATCAAATCAAAATATAAAGAAATGAGTCTTTGCCACGACTTCTGATATTCTAATCCTATATCTTTAAGCAACCCAATGTCCTAGATCTTAGATATTTCAAACTATGAATTTTGTTAAATCAAATAATCCAAGTTTAAATTTATAACAAAGGTTTCAATATACAGTGAGAATCAAAAAACTGTGAAATAGGAAGACGACTTTTAGACTCAAGTTATAATTTTAAATAGACCAATAAATATGAAACATAGCATGTGTGAATGTCAACGGACCTGAATAAGGAATTGTATACATTAGAAGTAAAACTATTTGCTTCGGAACAACATCAAATAGATTTAATTATATTGCTTTAATGTCGTCTTCTTATTCCAAGGTTTTCTGCAGGTATCACTGTATACCCAAAAATAACAAATAAACAAATAAATGTGTTTGTGTAGTTTGACCGGCCCGCTGCTACTACCTGAGTATAGGGTGTACTGTGTGATCAGCTGATCTATTCTGCTCCTCCAGCAGTCTCCAGTCCTCACCCTTTCTCCTTTCTCCACAGCTCAGATATCTGATACGATGGAGTAACAAACATAACTAACTGCGCCTATCCTGTCCTAGCCGCAGCGCTCAGCCCCCCTTATCATCATGAGGTGCATCAGAAGACCTAATGCCTATTCTAGAATTAAAGGGAGTGTTCGCGAAAAATGAAAGGGGGTATAGGCTTAATGCGATAAAAAAGCGCTTTTGATCGCTACTAATCTTACTTCTATCTGTTGCGTCTATAAGGAGAAACTTGTTAAAGACGTCTCATACCGAATAACTTAGCGCCCATACAAATTGAGAAAATTGCAGCATACGACTTAGACCGTAAAAAATCAATTTAATTTCAAACAAATCACTCAGATATTACAACCTATGGTCATCGATTATCTTTCGCCACATTTGTATATAGTTTATATTTTATAATATTTTTTAATTAATTTGTTTTGAATTTGATTATTTCTCTAGCAGCTTGCGCAACTATCTAAGAATGCCGCGGACCACTCACATTTTTCGAAATCAGTTAAAACGTTTTCTAAAAATATAAAATATTATAAAATATAAACTATATACAAATGTGGCGAAAGATAATCGATAAATATAGGTTGTACTATCTGAATGATTTGTTTGAAATTAAATGGATTTTTTATGGTCTAAGTGATATGTTGCAATTTTCTGAATTTATATGTGCGCTAAGTTATTCGGTATGAGACGTCTTTAACAATTTTCTCCTTATAAACGCAACAGATAGAAGTAAGATTAGTAGCGATCAAAAACGCTTTTTTATCGCATTAAGCCTATATATATACCCCCTTTCATTTTTCGCGAACACTCCCTTTAAAGAAAGAAGTTTGAGCATTGTAGAGATGAGTCTTTTCCTCACTTTGTCTTTCAGAAATTAAAATTGTGGTACCAAAAAAAGAGGGAGGGGGGGGGACGGGGTTCGTCAAATTGTATTAGAAATCAAAATCACATAAATCATTTTATTCTAGATTTAAAGTCTTTGGATCTTTGGATCAAAATACCAAATATATCAACAAAATAAATATTTCTTTTTAAGAATCAAAACTTGATATTATGTATGAATTATTGTCACTTTGATCCATGTGTATTTGGATATTGCCTGAGAAGAGAGAAGATAAGGACAGTTTATAATAGAGATAAATAATTCAAAATGAGTTTATAATATCCTGAGAATCTGAACCCAGGGGCTCCTGTATTAAAATAGAGATATATAGCAACTAGTTGAAATAGAGAGATACCATTCCTCATCCCGCATCGTCCTATTCATTCCTCATACCGTAGATTCCTATTCATTCCTCATCTCTTATCTTCCTATCCATTCCCCATATCTTATCTTCCTATTCATTCCTCATCTCATATTTTCCTATTCATTCCCAATATCTTATCTTCCTATTCATTCCTCATCCCTTATCTTCGTATTCATTACTCAACCCTTATATTTCCCATATCTTATCTTTCTATTCATCCCTTATCTTCATATTCATTCCTCATCCTGTATCTTCAAATTCATTCCTAATCCCGTATCTTACTATTCATTCTTCACCCCTTATATTCATATTCATTCCCCTTCCGGATCTTTCGGATCTTTCTATTTATTACGCATCCCTTATCTTCATATTCATTCCTCATCGCTTATCTTCCTATTCATTCCACATCTCTTATCTTTCTATTCATTCCTCATCCCGTATCTTCCTATTCATTCCTCCTGTCATATCTTCCTATTCATTCCCCATATTTTATCTTTCTATTCATGCCTTATCTTTCAATTCATTCCTCATCCCTTTTCTTCATATTCATTCTTCCCTTCCTATTTTTCTT